GGAGTGTGCAAACCCACAGGAGGTGGTCGGCTTTGGAATTGTCCCTCCACATAAATGTCAAGGAACTCAGGGTGATTCGTTTGGCGTGTGTAGCTTTCAGCACGAACCTTCATGGCAAGGTGGTCAGGGTCCTTACGGACAACACCGCTGCAATGTACTACATCAACAAGCAAGGTGGGACTCGTTCCTCGGCCCTCTGTCTGGAAGCCCTGAGCTTATGGGAGTTCTGTATAGCCCACGATATCTCCCTGCGAGCTTTTCACCTGCCGGGCATCCGCAATGCGCGAGCCAATCGCCTCAGCAGGATTTTCTCCCCCCAGTACGAGTGGTTGCTCCACTCAGAGGTCACTCACCTGCTCTTCCGAGAGTGGGGAGTTCCCCAGGTCGACCTCTTTGCAACCTGCCAGAACCGGCATTGCCCCAAGTTCTGCTCCAGGGGAGGAGTTGGGAGGGGAGCAATATCGGACGCCTTCCTCCTACAGTGATCAGGCCAGCTTTTCTATGCCTTCCCACCATTTCTCCTCATCGGCAAAGTCCTGCAAAAAGTAAAAACAGACAGGACGCATGTCATCCTCATAGGCGCAGCATGGGCCTGCCAGCACTGGTACGGGACCCTCCTACATCTCCTAGCAGCCCCCCACGACAAAGTTGCCGCTTCGCCCGCACTTCCTCTTACAGGATGGAGGCTGCCTCCTCCATCCCAATCTAGCCGTGCTCCACCTAACAGCGTGGCTGCTCACTGGCTAGGCAAAGAGGAGAGGAGGTGCTCAGAGGAAGTCAGGCGGGTCCTAATAGAAAGTAGGAAGCCGTCCACATGCCGGACGTACCTGCCGAAGTGGTCCAGATTTTCCAGATAGGCAAAGGAGCGGGGAGCCTCCCCATCGTCTGCATCTCTCCAGCTTATCCTTGAGTACCTCCTGTCCCTTCGGACCCAAAGGCTGGCACCGCCTCTGTCAGGGTACACTTGGCGGCCATATCGGCCTTCCACCCGCCGGTGCAAGGCCACTCGGTCTTTTCCCACTCTATGACCTCTTGCTTTCTGAGAGGCCTAGACCATTCTTTCCCGTATGCTAGATCCCCCGTACTGCAATGAGACCTAAACCTGGTGTTGTCTCGTCTCACGGGACCCCCCTTTGAACTCCTGGCCATGTGTTCCTGGTCTTACCTCTCATGGAAAGTAGCATTCCTTGTAGCAATCACGTCGGCCTGATGTGTCTCGGAGCTCAGGGCCTTGACCTCGGAACCCCCATATATGATCTTCCACAGGGATAAAGTCCAGCTTTGCTCACCTCCCGCATTCCTCCCGAAGGTGGTCTCCGTCTTCCACATGGAGCAGGACATTTTTCTTCCAGTGCTCTGTCCTAAGCCCATTCCTCCAGCGAGGAACGTCGCCTTCACACAGTAAATGTGCGTAGAGCACTGGCCTTTTATCTGGATTGGACCAAGCCCTTCCAGAAATCAGGGCCTTTGGGGTCTGTTCTCACTTCAGTGTAGTGTACATAAGTCAATATTTGTGTGACTCCCCACTAATCATTGCTGCAAGCAGAGAGGATAATTGCACAACCTCATATAGACTCCCCACAGACACCCACACCCACAAATAAATGTACCTACCCATCTGAATGTGAACAAACCAGATAAGGCACCTTGGCAAGGTGGGTGGAACTAAAAGTTGGACATTGGTTCCGTATTAAAGTTCCTGACCCTGATTCTAAACCTTAAATTACAGGAAAGAACTGAATGGTATTCATCTTTACTAGTGGCATCATCCATTGGTGATGTAGAAGCACTTCAGTGTAAGTTAAGCACATAACCACTATTTTGAGTCTCTTTATTTTCCTATGTTTCCTGCTGTACATAGGTGCTGGAACTAGGGGTGCCGGAGGTGCTGCCGCACCCCCTGGCTTGAAGTGGTTTCCATTATATACCATTTGGTTCATTGGCTCCCAGCACCCCCACTATACAAATTGTTCCAGCACCTCTGCTGCTATATTGACAATTATTGATAATTTTGCTTAATTACAACCTAATGTTCAATTGAGGACAGTTGGTAATAACTTTTAACTATATGGAGAGGTTGAAGGATGACAAACCAGCCATTTGTTAGCAAAAGGGGTCCACAAAAAAGAAACTGATTTTTGAAATATCCAATTTTTGAATTATACTAACCAACCAATTTGATGGCAGTCCCAGAAATACTGAATTTCTACCAAGCCTCTATACTATACTTTAATATGTCTAAATTAGTGGACGTGTCAAATTCATTATTTAGGGTAAAATTTTCAGAAGTGACTTAGGCAAACAGGCACCTGTCACTCTTGAAACTGGGAGTAGGCAGTCTTGAAAATTTTACCTGGGTATCCTAGTTTTGAACACCCATTTTAATGCATCAAATAGTAGTGGGACTTTCAACTATTGGTAGTTTGATGCTGTGGCCAAAAGAGCTAATGCGATCCTGGGGTGCATAGTCTGGGGAATATCAAGTGGGAGCAGAGAGGTTATTTTACCTCTGCATTTGGCACTGGTGCAACCGTTGCTGAACTACTGTGTCCAGTTCTGGTGCCTACAATTCAAGAAGAATGTTGATAAATTGGAGAGTTCACAGAAGAGCCATGAGAATGATTAAAGGATTAGACAACAAGCCTTCTAGTGGTAGGTTTAAGGAGCTCAATCTATTTAGCTTAACAAAGAGCAGGTTAAGGGCTGACTTGATTACAGTCTATAGGTATCTACGGGGGAATAAATATTTAATATTGGGCTCTTTAATCTAACAGAAGGTATAGCATGAGCCAATGGCTGAAAGTTGAAGCCAGACACATTTTGACCAGAAAGAAGACAAATTTTTAACAGTGAGGGTAATTAACTCTTGGAACAATTTCTCAAGAGTCATGCTGGGTTCTCCATCACTGGCAATTGTTAAATCAAGATTGGCTGTTTTTCTAAAAGATCTGCCCTAGGAAGTTATATGGCCTGTGAAGTTCTGGGAAGTTCTATGGCCTGTGCTATACAAAAGATCAGACTGGATGATCACAATTGTCCCTTGTGGCCTTGGAATCTATCAATACAACTAATAGCCCAGGCTATCATTTTAGAGGATAAATACAAGCATAGCACAACTGGCATCATTATTGGCAGAAAGCCTCATGGTCAAGGACTGTATAGATATAGAGCAGGTAACTTCCGACCTTTCCAGGTCATGGTCCTCCTATGGCAGTGCTGTGGCACAGTGGCTAGCTGGTGCTGGGAAATTTTATATTGTCATTACCTGCGTTACATATTTATTGGATCTATATAGAATTTTCAGTCTCCAGTGCTGCCACTCTGTCAATTTTCATCAGCACTAAATTCACTATAGGGGAAAAAACAGTGAACAGGAAAGAAGCCCAGATGCTTAAGTTAGTGAATCAAATCCAGCTGAAGTATTATCCCAAGCCTTGTAGACTCTGCATTATATAATATAAAACAAAGGAAAATCCCAGCTTTAGAAGCGATCCAAAACCAATCATCGGGTGTACCATCCAATTTAGAAAATGGGTCAAAGAGAAACTTCGCTGTCAAATGAGGTTATTTCACAAATTAATAATTGTGGGGACTCTGGCTCAGTAAGTGAATGCACTAGCCTACTTTCAAATCCAGCCTAGGCCACAATTAAATGAGTGTAATGGATGGCCTCAAGTAGTACTTATTAAACAGTTGCCCATATCACAAAACTGTGACATGATTGGTCATATATAAATCCAGATAGGTATATAGATCAATAGATCATTAGATTACCAGTAATACAGCAAATAGATAAGAAATCTGTGCTCAGGAGAAACCCAGGGTGATGAGAGAAACCAAAGATGTCTGTGTGTCTACATTGCATGTAAAGCCCAGGTCTTTGGGACCTGGACTTGTGGACTCTGTGTTTCCAAGCCTGTGCTTGAGCATCCACATTGCACTGTATACCTGGGCTTACAATTGTTGGCCCCAGGTCTGATTTGGGTGAGTGGCTTGAGTTGCATCCACACTGCAAAATGACAGGGCTTGGACCCAAGTCGCAGCAGGACTTGGGTTCTAACCCACCTCCCTAGCAGGGTCCAAGGGCCTGGGTCCTGAGTGCTTGCTTACCCAAGTCAGCCTGATTTGTGCATGGATGGAAGGGGGGCTGCGGCTTGGGCTTGGGCTCAGGCTCAGACCTGAGTCAGAGCCCATGCTTAGGGCATGTCTGCAATAGAAAACCCATGGCACTAAGTCTCAGAGCCTAAGTCAGTTGACTCAGGCTTGTGGGCCTTGAGCTATGGGGCTAAAAATTGTAATGTAGATGTTTATGCTCGAGGTGGAGCCTGGGCTCTGAGACCCATTCACCTTACTAGGTTTACCCAAATGAACCCATTCCCAAATCACAGGTGGTAGGGAAAAGTTGGCCCCCTGGGAAGGTGGCTGTCCAAGGAGAACTCTTTATGCTGGGACACAATCCCTGTTGATTTGACACAGTGTGCTCTGGTGGATAAGATATTCATTAGGAGGCCTGAGTTCTGTTCCCTGTCCGGCAGCTGATCTACTGCGTGAACTTCAACAAGTCACTTTGCCTCTCTGCGCCTCTGTTTCCCATCCTGCTGTTTGTCTGTCTTGTCTATTTTGGCTGCAAACTCTTCAAGGCAGCAACTGTCTCTTACTATGTGTATGGACAGTGCCTAGCTTTCTCCAGATTGCAGCCTGTAGGTGCTACAATAATATAAATAGTAATATGGAGGCTAAGGCTACACTGGAGTTTAGGCTTTGCAAGTTCATGAGTTTGTCTGGTCCATGTTCAAGCCTCTATTTAAAAAAAAAAAATCTTTAAAGTTGCCACTGATTGGTCTGCTGTGGGAGCTGCTTCAGCTAACAGACTGAAACGGCTATTGCAGATGTCAGCTTGCATGGTCTGGTCTGGGCCCTAGTGGTCCTCAAGTGTGCACCATATTCTTAGTCAAACTTCCCAGCATCTAATCTCTTGCTCTGTTATTGATTCCCCTCAGGTACTTCCTGCAGGAAGTCAGGAGGACAGAGAGAGAGAGAGAGCACCATGTCTTCAATTGCAGCTTATTACAATGGAAAGACCGTACTCATCACAGGAGCCACAGGTTTCATGGGCAAAGTACTGATGGAAAAGCTACTGCGTGCCAGCCCTAATGTGGAAGCTGTTTATATCCTTGTGAGGCCAAAGGCAGGACAATCAATGCAGGAGAGAGTGGCAAATATGGTGAAATCCAAGGTAGGTTGCTGCATTTTACAAAGAAATCTAAACTATAATCAACAGGGCAATTACATGTGTACAGTAGATGACAAGATGTTATATTTCACCTGTTGAGGACAGTATCACTCTTCTGCTACAAACCTTACATAGGTTTAGTATGGAAAAAATAAGCTGCACACAGATCCCTTAAATCCTAGAATCTCAGGGTAGGAAGGGACCTCAGGAGGTTGTCTAGTCCCACCCCCTGCTCAAAGCAGGACCAATCCCCACCTCCCCAGATCCCTAAATGGCCCCCTCAAGGATTGAGCTTACAACCCTGGGTTTAGCAGGCCTGTGCTCAAACCACTGAGCTATCCCATCCCCCCAATGATATACAGGATTTGAAAACTATATATTTTTATTTTTTTAATTGATTTTTATATGGAAAATAATAATTCCCAATGAACATCAAAAACATGTTGACATCAGTGTGGTGAGACACTGTGAAATCACCATAATCACAATGCAAATTTGGTGTATCCATAACAGAGTTCAGTGACATTTAACAAATGTCGTCATTGTAAATTACGTGGTGACATTTATCAGCCATTAACTAACTCCCCCCCGCCCCTGAGGAAAACTGAACACTGCTCAAACATCAATAAAATTCAAAGTAATCCCCCTGTGGGATCTCCCTGCCCTTCTCAGGGCTGTTGAACCACCACAACATCAACAGGTGCTAACAATTACGATACTTGTTTTCTCTCATAGGGCACAGCAGTAAAGCTGATAAACCAGTGGAGGGACTTTGTAGTCCATTCACATCCTGCTGTCCATCAGTGCCAGTTACAGGATCAACCTCGATTATGAAACATTAAAAATACTGGGAAACATTAGTGTACAGAGGCTGTATTGAGGCTACAAGTAGCAGCCATGGGAGAATTTAGAGTATCTAAAACTCTGTCCTGGGCAAAACTGACTCGAGCGATGTTATTTGATGTCCCACTAGTGGTCCCCAGGGAGTTAAAGACTTAACAAACAGGGCTAGGAGGAGGAAGGGATGTTGTAAAAAAAAAAATGTCTTTGCTGGCCCCTTACTGCCTGGAATTAGAATTGCATATTTACCTGCAGAGGTAACTTACATCTAGCAAATGGTTCAGTGGAGAAGTGACCTATTGTTTGCTTTTTGCAAATATGTCAAATGCACAATTTTTCTATCATTTTGCCTTCAGTGAATATTATTCTCCACATAGTTCTACGGCTTTCTTCATTGCAGCTACATTTTTCATAATAAAACAACAAAAGTCCAAATGCAGTCCTTTCCCACAAAATAAAGTGAAGGATATTATTTTTACAAAACTTCTAAAAGCTCTGTTTGCATTTCCTGTGATAAATGTTAATGACCTATTCGCTCAATAGCTCAGCACAGCATACTGTTGTTGTTAGCTCTAGGTAAGGTTCCCTAGTAGCTATTTTATTGTTGCAGCTGTCAGTTACTAGATATTACCCTCCTTTTGTAATGTGTGTCAACAGTTTTAGACACGCCAACGGCATAGAGGGCTTGATAACCTCTCCTTGAACTTTATGGCATTATGCTTCAATGGGCTCCAAAAGGAGTAAATGTTAAAGAAAATCAGCGGATAAGTTTCTGGAAGTTAGTGTAATGCTCAGAAATCAGGCAGGTTGAGGGTGGTCCAGATCAGCAGTCAGATGTCAAGCAAGAGGTCCAATAGTCAGGAGTTCCTATCCAAGGGAAAGGTACAGCACGGCTGCTGGCAGGGCTTGGTGAGATGGCAAGGCAAGATCGAGTGAGTTGATAAGACAGGGGTCAGGCGAGGTGGCACAGCAGGATCACATAGGGTCCAAGTAGCAAGCAATGGCTTGTTGCTCAGACAAGGTCAGGAAAGAAGCAGGAAGTTTATATATAACCACCAGCCAGTCAGGGTCAAGACCATGTGGCCAATCAGGAAGCAGGTTATAGAACCCTGGAAGCTGGCGCACCCAAACCTGTGATTTCCTTGGTAATTGGATGGATCGGTGTGGTGCAACAACTAAGGCTGCTGCCCAAGAAACCAGTGGACCTAGGTTTATCAGAGAGACTTTGAAAACCAGTTTCATGACTGGCCAGGCTACGGTGTAACAGTTGTGTGTGTTTCTCCTTGCTGCAAACCCACCCCCTTTGTTGATTTTAATTCTCTGTAAGCTAACCACCCTCCCCCCTTCGATCACAGCTGGCAAAGGAAATAAAGAAACTATTGTTTTGAAGCCATGCATTCTTTTTCTTAATTAAAAAAAAAAAAGTGAGATAACTGACAAGGAAGCCTGGGTGGGGTGGGGTACGGGAGGAGGGAAGAACAAGGCCACATTGCTTATTGTAGCCACACTACAAATCGAAACTGTTTAAATGACAGCCTTCCGTTGCTTGGGCCATCCTCTGCAGTGGAGTGGCTGGGTCCCTGGGCATCTGGGTGAGGAGGATATGGAACTTGGGGAGGAGGGCAGGCGGTTATACAATGGATGCATCGGGGATCTGTGCTCTTGTTGGCTTTCCTGCAGCTCCAACAGACACTTCATCATGTCCGTTTGCTCCCGCATTAGCCTCAGCATTGCCTCCTGCCTCTGCTCTTCGCACTCACTTAATGCTTTCCTGGCCTCTGTCACTGAATGCCTCCATGCATTAAGCTGTGCCCTATCAGTGCAGGAGGACTGCATGAGCTCGGAAAACATGTCATCGCGAGTACGTTTTTTTCACCTTCTAATCTGCGATAACCTCAGGGATGGAGATGATAGGGCGAGCATAGAAACATTTGCACCTGGGGGGAGATAAAAAGGGAGAGTAAAGTTTAAGATGATACATTTCTGAGAACAAACGGGAGACTCTTTCACAGTGAATCAAGCAATTCACAGCAGACAGCACATGTGCTTTAGGTACAAGGTCGCATTTTGCCTTTTATATTGAGCGCCTGCCAGTATGGTGACACATCACACACAGCTGGGCAACAGATTTCGGTTTCCAGGCAGCCATGGTAAGCCTCTTGGTACGCGGGGTTGGCTTCTTACACCTTCATAACATGTGGGAATGGTTTCAGACTGCAGTGCCATCCTTTCCCATAGCAAGCAATGGTGGCTAGGTTTCACATTTAAAAGGAGGGGCTGTGGTTTTTGGGTGAATGTGCAGCACACACCTCCCTCCACCCCACAGCGTGGCCATTCTCTGGGATGATCCCTTCACCCCTCCCCCTGCTGCATGGCTATTCTCTGGGATGATCCCTTTTAGCCAAGGGCAAACAACCCAGCATGAACGGAGTCCTCTTACTGTTCCCTTACAAAAATTCCCCTATTTCAACCAGGTGACCATGAATGATATCACTCTCCTGAGGCTAACACAGAAAGATATAGACTGAATGTTGCTTGAATGCGACCAAAACCTGGGACCATTCGCTGCCATGCTTTGTGCTGCAGTTATTCCAGACTACTTGCTACTGGCTTGGTGTGTAACGTGTCCTGCTGTAGAGGATGAAAAAAGTCAGCCCTCCCCAGAAACCTTCTGCAAAGGCTTTCAGAGAACCTCCAGGAGAGCTTCATGGAGATGTCCCTGGAGGATTCCCGCTCCATCCCCATACATGTTAACAGACTTTTCCAGTAGCTGTACTGGCCGCGAATGCATCCCAATTCTTCAGGGCAAATCAAACATTAAACACTATTGCTTTAAAACCCCGTTCTGTAGTTACAAATGTGCACAGTAGTGGTAGAGTGTCTCCCCCCCCCCCCCCCCAACAAAAAAAAAAAGTGCCAGCTGATCATAGAAGCGACATGTATGGGGCTCTGACCCGGAGTGACTGTTTGCCTCCTTTGTCTTTTGGTAGGCTTGCCTGAGCTCCTTAACTTTCACGTGGCACTGCTGTGTGTCCCTGTTGTAGCCTCTCTCCACCATGCCCTGTGCGACTTTGGCATATATATATTAGCATTTCTTCTTTTTAATCAGAGTTCAGCCTGCACACATTCTTCTCCCCGTACAGCAGTCAGATCCAGTGTCTCCCGTTCGGTCTATGCTGGAGCTCATTTGCAATTCTCGGGAGACTTCATGGTCACCTGTGCTGCTGAGCTCGCCATGCTGACCAAACAGGAAATGAAATTCAAAATTTCCTGGGGCTTTTACTGGCTAGTATACCTGGCTAGAGCATCGGAGTTCAAAGTGCTGTCCAGAGTGGTCACATTGGAGCACTCTGGGATAGCTCCTGGAGGCCAAAACCGTCAAATTGCATCTGCACTACCCCAAATTTGACCCAGCAAGGTTGATTTTAGCGCTAGTCCCCTCACCGGGGTGGGGGGGAGTACAGAAGTCAATTTTAACAGCCCTTTAGGTCGCTGGAATGGGGTTGGTTGTGTAGACGCATTCATTTTAAAATCGACCTAATGGGGCCAAATTCAACCTAACCCTGTAGTGTAGACCAGGGCCAAGAGTTGGACTTGCTAAATGTATCTGTCTACCTAAAGAATATTCCTTTGTACATAAACATACCGCAGTATAAGGGCCTGATGCAAAGCCCACTGAATTCAGTGGAAGCCTCCCAAGTGAAATCTACAACCACAGTATTGGAGTGTTCATTAAGTATCCTTTAAACATGCTGAATGCCATAGATCTAGTCTATGCTGCATATAAAAGCTGAGTCCCTGGTACTGAGCCAGTATTTACTGTACAGCTGCATGTCTAGGAGAGCAACTCGTGAGAGGCAGGTGCATAGGGTTGAGTTGTCTCTGTATTCCTCTTAGACTGAGAGAGACCTCCGCAGTGCCAGCCGCATTCAAACTAAACACTCCCTTTTTAGAGGCCCTACACCAGCTCCACGCATTCTCTGATCCAAAGAGCTCTGCAGCGGACTCTAGTTAGAGCCCCACAATCCTGCTCCTTTATTATCCAGAGGGAGAATTGTTGCTATTAGGGAATATCATTTCCCCCCCTACTCACAGTGTGACTAGGGCACAAGGCTGTTTAAATACTACATCACTCCCAGTATGTAAACTACTTCTTTGAGTGA